CGCGTTAAAAAGTAAGGAAAAAAACAAAAAAACAATCTCCATAACAATAACTAAACTTTTTCGAATAAATGAAATACGAAGGAAGCATCTTTAAGCTAACAGACAACACGTAAACATATATTAAACGAAAAATGTTTTCAATTTTAAACAGTAACTACTTTTTAAAACATGTTACGGGTGTTTTTATGCGTAAAAAAAAGAAGAAGAAAAATATTTTAAAACAGTAATAAAGTGAGAAAACTGCAAATTAAACTTTCTCAACATGCCATGCTTTGTCACTTGATTCACACCCAGGGCTAATTTATCAAACAATTGCATTCGCTAAGATTAAAAGACGAGATATTCAGTACTAAAATTTACATGGACTCATATCTTCGATGCCTCTCTCCAATAACTCCGTCCTTGAGACCTCCTAACTGGAAAGAGGAAATAATTTGTTAATAATCAACACAACAACAACTATCGATTAGAAGAACTATAGTACAGTTTAAATGCTTTTTCTAAAACTTACATACGTAAATTTTCTACAAATGATTTAATTGAGGATATGATTATAATTAAGATGAAAACATTTGCAAGAATCTGTCTCGGTCGCATTATTGCAACACACGAATGGATCTTTAAGAAATCTACTCCACCAATTTTCGATTGTGGACAGACATCTTCCGATTAAACGTACAATTTGCAAACGCCGCAACCTTTTCAATATTCGAGCACTCGTTTTTGAAGCATCTGACTATGGATTGAATCTGAAAATACCCGGAGAACGCATTATCAATACAATGCACAAATTCATCAAGGTCACTAAACTGAACATCCAGTCTTCCCTTTCAAAAAAATAAGAGTCGATAGCCTTGGTTGCTAGTGATCACCAATTTTTACTCCTAGAATTTAGTTTTTTGGCCTAAATAAATTGCAACAATAGTAATTATTATAATTTGATGGAAATTTTGAACAGCTTAAATGCTGCCCATAAGCATCAGGTAAATAAATACCCAATGGTTCTAAAGCTTCTCTGTCAAATTTTTTTGTATTGAAGATAGCTTTCCTTTAACCGACCCGTAGTAAGTTGAAATATCAGCAGCCTTTGTTCAAACTTTTATATTATCAGAAAACATTTGTTTTCAGCTACCCATCGAAAGTCGAGATATTTGTAGCAATGCTTTTTTCAAATTCAAATTTAAAGAATCAAGGAAGAAAGTTATATTCGGCGTGAGCCGAATCTCGCTTACCCATCACTATGCTTTTCCCATTCTGCTCTCCAAATTCTTGTAGTTGATACCCATATCGCTGGTATTATTAAGAAAAAATTAAACGACCAGTTCGCCCCACTGCGGGCTTCTGTTCCCATCAATCTGTCCCGATTTTCGATACCAACCTGCGTGTTGTTTCTACCAATTTTAAAGTCGAAATCTACTTTGTTGCGACCAGTAGGGTGCTAACAACAAACACCAGACAGACACACCGGGGGACAGACATGGCTTAATCAATTCAGAAATTCATGCTGGTCAAGATTGTATATACTTTATAGTATTCACCCGTTTGGGTGTTACATATACTATGAAAAAAAAAACAAGTGGAGTATACCCCTATCGTTCAGTCGTGGGCATAAAGATGAGTATAGAAAGTTTCTTCACCTCTACCAAACGGAAATATTTAGGCATATCTTTACTTAACATATTAAAAAGTGTGCAAAATTCTTCCCCGTAACACTTTCTATTGGCTTTCAAAATATGGACACATTTGTCAACGCCATCCAGCACGGTCTAGAAATTCACAGAGTGCGTGAGAATTCTAATCTACTGTAGCTTTCGGAGCAGCAAGTCTATGCCTTCCTTGATAGAAATGCGATTTGTTCGTTTTCTTGACGCAAAGGTCAGACTTAGTGGAAGAGCAAACGCTTTGTGCAAGAAACGTTGCCGTTCTAAAAGAGCAATGATTTTTACTTTTCATTTTTATTGTTTTTCATTGCTTTTTAAGACCGAACGCGACAAATGATGTAAAATCTAGCATTATACGTTTAAAGCTACCAGCTACCAGTTGCCAGTTGCTTTTAACTCTCTCTCTTTTACGAACGGTTCTCAGCGTATCATAAAAAAGTACGATACTATTTATTCGCTTTTTTTATTTTGCCAACATTTGATTGTAACTGACGTTGTTGTAAGTAAAAACTGACTGATTTGCAAAGCTTTCTTAGTCCGGCCATCTATATTATATGAAAAAATATCAAGCCGTAAGTTTCACACACGACATTCTTTCGAAAGTGCAATAAGAAGCTTTAGTAGATTTCTTTGTGACACCATTTAACCGTATTTTTCCTAAGCACAAATAATTTAAAATTGAAAATTTTTATGCTTTTGTAGGTATACAACAAACTCTACTTATAACAACACCTTCCATAATGTGTTCTTAAGAATTAAGAACGTCCAGAGAAGACTTATTATATACAATACAAAAAACTTACGCAAAAGTATAAATTAGTGTCAGCTACATTTTGTGAATTATTAATGAAACTGCTTTCAAGTTTTTCTTCGAATTATTGGCAGACATTTAAGGCGGGAATTAGGGATAGTTTCAAAACTAACCTGTACGAATGAAATAAAAGCAAAGTGAAAGGTTCAATATTGTAATTCGAGATAAACGACTTTAATTCCCTGGTTGTAACAAATGCATAAACGTTTTTGTATTTCCTTTTTATGTGATTGACCGCCAAGTTGGTATTCCTTATGCGTGACTTAGTACACGTGACACTGTAATGGTCAGCAAGAATTCTTGGTAGGGAAAAAGGAAAGAGGTAAGCGGGATTTGTGTACGTTCGAGAAAATAAAGTGTATCGATTGGAACTATTATTACATTGGCCTTTTAGTCAGACATATCTGCTATGAGCTACAAATTGATCTTTTTTTCGGTATTTTTAAAGTGTTTTGCTCAGTAAAGTGTCATGCGCAGTTTTTCACTGAGATTTTTTGCTATCCAATCACCAATATTTGCCATGAATCGTAATATTAATCTGTAGTTATGAACTGCAGGTTTACGCACTGATCCTGACATTTTGGTCGCCACTTGTGTGATCCTAAGTAAGCCAGCAATGGTATCAACGCGTAAGTTTAGATTGGCAGATGGACAAACAGAGTGAAATCAATTAATCACAGAACATAAAAAATGTTCAATTTTGCACAAACCGACAAATCTAGTGAAACCCTATCCCATTGTTCTCTAATGTGAAAATCATCTAACTGTTAGAAGTGCTTTTATATATTTAAACGGCGAGGTAATTTTTTGGATCAACGAATACATGCAAACGCTTTCCTACCGATACTAATACTACTATAAAGGCAACCGCCACGATTAACATAACTAAAATTGAGGTCATGAAAAACTTAAAACGCCTCTTAAATTACAAAACTCGTTTAGAAAATAATGATGTAAGAACATATAATGCGTTCACCGATAATGGCGGAAATGATAAAAGAATGCCACCACTATATGAAAAAAAAAGTAAGGAACACAAACGTACAACACCGTCGATTCACAAACCGCTAAAAAAATTAAATGAAATGAAATTGAAACGGAAAACAGATAAAATTTCATTGAACGCCACACATCAGCCCGAAACACAAAGTAAAAGTGTAGCAATATCGATATCGACAGCGCCAGCAGCAACGTGTAACGGGGGCAGTGGCAATAATGTAACAGATTATAATTCGCTAAATCGTATGCGCAACAGTACTAGTAGTTGTTGCACATCACAATCAATGCAACTGAAATCTAATTGCAACACGAACAGCAAGTGGCGGCGTTGGTTGCATTATTGCCGCGGATATATGAATAAACGAAAATCGAAACATTTTTATAGCAATTTGTTAAAACGCTGTTGTCAATGGCATCGCTCTTGCTGTTTCAATTTTCGATCAGGCTCTTTGAGTAAAACGGACGAATATGATGACGACATTGAAGCTAAAGTTGCTGCCTATTTAAATGAAATGAAAGTAAAGAATGCAGCAACAAAACCACCGATTGACACCACAATCATTGATTCAACAAGTAGGCGCACGATAGAAGCATACGATATGATAACGTTTCCCACACGAAATGAAAATATTGATAATTTGATTGCTTATAGCACCACCATAACTCCCATCGCTCCTATTGCTATCACTACCACTAGTACTACTACTCCTACTACTACTACTACTACTACTACTACTACTACTATTATTACTACCATTAACAGCAAAAGTAGCGCTAGCAGTATTCTCAATACTTCTAATAGCACTAACACTTGTGACAGCAAAGATATAGAAGGAAGTCATAGTGAACGGTTGCCTAAAACGCAAACGAATAAACGAACCTGGACGTGGGACGACAGTTTACGTTCGAATTCTGATCGCTTTTTGGAAACTTTGGAAGAAGATTCAAGTTTTATTAATGACTTTGTTATAATTAACTCAACCAATACGCAAAATGTAATCGCTAAGCGGTGCCATAATTCCCAAGGCAACTTAATGCCCTGTAGGTCATCATTACCGTTTACGTTTGTAACAACCAACGGAGACGACAATGATTTCGTTTTAATAAAAGAAGGTATAGATCCTCCTTCCCATAGCACATCTTACAAATCGCATATGATTACATCTATCATGAAGCATGTTGAACCGATGATACAGCAAAATTTATATTAACTTTCTACACAACACGTATTTAATCAATTTATTTAGCTTTCGCAGACGTGAACAAAAAACAAAAAACGGCAACAAAAATTAAGAGAAAACCATAAATGTTTAATAGTAGTGAGCATGCGCATCCGTATCTAAAAAAAAAAAAAAAAAAAAAAAAACTATATATATATATATCTCTGCATAAATATGATTGTCTGTATATAATGCCTATAATCTATAGTCTTGTTCTTCTTCTTTTCTTTTTATTTTTATATTGCAGACCCATCTATACGTGACTTAATATAATAAAATATTCTTTTAATTTCGTTTTTCTTTTTGCAGAAGAAGCTAAAGCGGCTGCCGAAGAATTAAACCGTTCACCTGTTATGGATCATAGTGGTATTGATCCCAGCGCTAGTCCCTTGCAATCTCGTGGCTCAGCTTCCAGTGATGCTTGGCATGGCCAATCCGACGAAGACATAGACCGTTTAGTGGCGATGCATCAAAATCGTAGTAGTTTAAGTTCATTAGGGGTAAGTTATTCGCATGTGTATATATTAAGCCCTGTCATCATCGTGACGATCATCAGTTCGCCTTGTCATTAAGTTTCATTAAAACAATGCGCAGTTGTTGTTGTTGTGCGAGTACATAAACGTAAACAATCATTATTTATTGCATGTGCATGCATGACAACAGAGATATAAAACGTTGCATGGCATTGAAATGTGGCCCATTGTTGCGCGAACCGCATACATGCTTACGCAAAATGATTGAATAAATTCGAAAACGTTCAAGTTGACCTTCCAGCACTTACGAGCGTTTTTAACATGTTCATTATAATTGAAAATTCACTTTTCCAGAGGTATATTAACTGGCGATCTTAAGTAGAACTAAAACTATTTGCTTTTCATCAAAATAGATTTTTTTCTAATTTTCATTTAGATTATTGCGATCGACATTTTTATCCGAAGCGAATGATTTTCTTATATTACTCTAACAATTATTGTTTTTATCAGATGTTTTCTTTTACTTATTCGTCGAGTTAATAGTTAGTTAGTAATAAATGGAGAAAGCTATCCTACAATTACAAGTACAACTGAATATCGGAGGAAAGATTTTTGAGTCGAATTTTCATTGAAACCGGCCCTCAACATTTCATACCTTGCCATGCTATCTTGGCTCTACCTTTCTTTCTCTTTCCCTACTACTATTTTCTAAGCAGTGACAAGAATGAAAAGCAGGTGCAGAGATGAAGAGGTAGAGAAATAGAAACGAGAGAGAAGTACAGAAGGTTTTAGTATTGAAATTGAAAAGCAAAAAATATATGCCTATCGCGCCTCCAATTAGGAGCGACAAACAGGGAAACCTCAAGTTAAAAAAAAAAAAATATATTTAGGGGCAGGGCTTCAAGAATGTCTTTCCTAAATTTAAATTATTCTACTTTTGTTTGAATAGACCAGGATCATAGTAATAAATAATAGCTCGATAAAGAATAATTAATGTGTTGGCCAACGTTAATATAATGCGAACCTTTCATATGTGATTATATTTTCACTTATATTTTTTCTAGTTACGTTCCGATTCTATGGCAAGCGTCTATTCGGGAGCTGGTGAAGGTCGTTATGGTACGGTAGTGGTTAAAGGACAAGTAGAATTTGGTATGCAATATAACTACAAATTAGCAGCCTTGGAGATACATGTTGTGAGATGTAAGGATTTGGCAGCTGTGGATTCGAAGCGCAACCGTAGCGATCCTTATGTTAAGGTACAACCTATAAAAGTTGTGCAATGCACATAAAAAATCTATAAAACCGAATCTCTTCATTCTCTCTATCTAAGGTATATTTATTACCCGATAAATCTAAGGCTGGCAAACGGAAAACTAAAGTCAAGAAGCACACGTTGAATCCAATATTCGATGAAGTGTTACGTTTTCATATGCCTATAGCTAGTTTAGAGGCGCGTACACTTTGGTTAACCGTATGGCATTCCGATATGTTCGGTCGAAATGATTTCTTGGGCGAAGTTAGCGTTAATCTGCAAGGCAGAGTTTTCGACAATCCGCAATCGCAGTGGTATCTACTACAAGAAAGGGTTAGTTCAAATATATGGCTAAGGCTAGCAAACAAAAAACAAACACGATTTCTATAAAATTTATTTGCATTTTCCAGAGTGAGCCTTTTGATGAGGTGGCTACTTACAGGGGTGACATCGTGGTAGGGTTAAAATATGTAACACCTGAAAGTACGAAATCTACATTTATGCGTAGCGGCTCCATAGTCAGCGGTATGGGCAGTGGTTTAAGGAAATTCGGCAGCATTAAGTCAGTGTCCACTTCTAAAGCTGAACGTACTGCAAAGGGAGGACAATTGCACGTCTTGGTTAAAGAAGCGAAACATCTTACCCCTATTAAACCAAATGGCTGTTGTGATGCTTTTTGTAAAAGGTATTCTAAAATTATGCTTAGCATTAGCCAAATCTATCCTTCCATTTTCAATACTTAGAAGAACAATAGATTCCGGATTAAGACCTAATTTCCTCCAATGCAAAGCAAATGCATTTAATTAATACGTCTTGGGGCTAGCAAGCTTTTCTTTCTTTACGCCAACTGTTACTTGAAGTCGACTGAAACGACTGACTAAAATCATTACAAAGAAGTTTCATTAGGATAACAAGCGCTCAGTTTCATCTTTCTTTCGTTTACTTCACCTACTAAACGATAAATTCGAATGATCTATGCAGTCAGATGACTCTTTGACTTCTTTGCATTCTAACCGCTTTCAGGGCAAGATCTTTATCAAATAGGTAGAACTTTTTCGGAGCCACGACAATGACCGTATAATAGCATCAATTAGAACTTTTATTATAAAACTGAATGACGAGCAATCCTTGTAAAAGGGCCCTCTTTCCCTGAAAAAGTTGGACAAAAATTTCCGAATTCCTGTTAAAGAGTCCTGTGTCACTTTAAAATACGGCGGCTACATCTTATCCCCAAAATTTGAAAAAAACATTAGGGTGCATAAGGGTGTAGGTTATTTGAGGAACAGTGGATAACAGTGAATAAAATAAAAATTTTATAATTTGCGATTCTCGATTTTACAGTTATTTATTACCCGATCGTACTCGAAGTTCAAAACAAAAAACTCCCGTAGTGAAAAGGTCCAATAACCCCAGTTGGACTTATACTTTTATTTATGAAGATGTGTCGTTAGAAGATTTATCGGAAAGAGCTTTGGAGTTAACCGTATGGGATCACGATCGCTTGGCTAGCAATGAATTTTTAGGCGGTGTACGATTTTCCTTGGGTACCGGTAAGAAAAAACAAGTTATTGCTCTTTTCTTTTAAGGTTTCATTCAATTATTTTGACTTGTCTTATAGGTAAAAGCTACGGTCGCCAAGTTGATTGGATGGATGCTTCGGGCAAAGAATTATCCTTATGGCAAAATATGCTTGATCGTCCCAATTTCTGGGTCGAAGGCAGTTTAGTATTAAGATCGACACTTGACGGTATACGAATTACACCATAATTATTATATTAAAATTATTTTGAAATTTGCATTAAAATTAATTAATTTATTTGTTTGCAGTATAGATTACACACATACAACTGTAATGTGTAATGACTTGCAAAGTATATTAGATTTACATTAAAAACAACAACAGCAACAACAACAATAATAATAATAATAATAATAATGATAACAACAACATCTACACTACAACAACAACACAAAAGACAAGGTATCAGTGATCCCAAAAATCATACACAGATAAAACACACAAAACTCTGTATAAAATTTTTACTTCGAATCCTTGTCAACCCAACGTAGTAAGTAATATAAAGTAAAATATAAAGTATTTACATAAATACCTAATATTCTTATGAAATTGTTTAATATACTAAAAAAAAGAAATATGACATAATTTAAGAGTAAGGAGATTAAATTATGAAAAAAACTCTTCTAATATGCATTCACACAATACATAAAATAAATTTCAAAAAAAAAAAAAATAATAATAAACAAAATGATAAAAACAACTGGTACTCCTCAAAAAAAAAAAAAAAACAAAAAAAAATACATTAAAATAAAAAAAAAAAAAATGTACCCTTAAAATGTAAAAAATTACATTGAAAAGAAAAAAGACGTTAAATTCCAGTTATGACAGACGAAAAGTCCATCGCAATCTTAAGTCCATTAACGAATACTCGAAATATTGAATATCATCAAAAAAGTTTATCTTAAGGACGTTTTTCTATCCAATCACTTTTCATCATTAATTTTTTGGAAAAGCTTTACCGAGAAAAAGGTATTTTGTGTAGCATAACAGTAAAATAAATAAACACATATAAAGTAACGAAATCATGCGATGTAAAACTTCGTTGCGATATTTAAGTCGTATTCTGAATTGCTTAGATTATATAAAACAAAAAAAAAAGGGAGTAATTTTAAGCATTTAATAATATGTTATATAAATAATGCGTAGATAATCATACAAGTAAAGATGTCTCTTCTCAGAGTAAATATTGAAAAACCGATATGCATTGTTTATGTGCATCTCTTCGATTTTAATTTATTTAAGCTTCACATCAATTTTGCACATTTTATCCCATCTTGCTGCCCTCAATTAATTTTGTTAATGTATTATATATAAAAATCTATAATTTTTACTTACTTTTAAATAAAATTTTTTAACAACTTTAAATTAATTATTTTTGATTTCTTACTTCTCCATTTCTCATATTCTTATTTCTTTTAAATCATTTTAGTTTTGCCTTAGGATACTCATTTTTGCCCCGGACTATATGGGCTAGAAAGAGATTACGGAACAAGCCATTCCCAATCTAAATCCAACATTATCGAGTTTTCAAAGTCGAGTAGAAACAGAGAGGAAGCAACCCTATTCGAAATGCTAAGAAAAATATACACTAGCCCCGAAAATGAACACTATAATATAAAAGTTAGGTTCAATAGGCGGCAAAGAGTGATAGTATTTACAAAGATCTTTCTCGCCTTATCCACGTACAAGCCTTAAGAATAAACAAAGAAGCCTCAGCAATGTATATATATATATATATATATATATTCAAAGTCACCCTGAGATTCTGGTTTAGTTTGATGTACGCTAGCGGCAAACTACTTCTAGAACTAATCCCTTAAAGTGGGTCACCTAAAATCTCTCTTAAAAATACCAATTATGCTAATTAACATGTCGTCTAGGCGCGACCTTAAATTTAAGTTTGAATAACTACTAAAGTCTAGGGTGCAAAAGATTCCAATCGACTTTCGAGTACACTCTAATTAGAAAAAAAAATGTTTCAAGCACTAGTGTCTGAAATTCGTCTTTGGCTTACCTTTCTCTACTAGGCGGCCAGCAAAATTCTGTGTGCGGTTATGGGCAGGGTCAAAGAAGTAGTAGTGTGATGAGGCGCCTGACATTGCTGTTTTGATGCTTTTGCTTCTCCGAAATCCATGGAGGAAAAGTTGATTGGCAATCTAGGATGAATAAATATTTTGAATACAAGAGTGACTATGACATGTCGCGTAATGACGACAACTCAAAGACGTTATAGGTAATGCTATAGGATAATACGGCACGCCCTTCGGGGTGTAGCATGGTAACTGGTGTTAAATGCAAGGCCTCACTTAATTAGAGGAGCGAATACGCCTCGCTTTGATAAGAGGGCAAGGTCTGAATCATTCCCAAACTTTTATAGCTCATGCTTGGTGCAAACTCTCTAAACGGTGCAGGAGTGCTTTCCTAACGTGCAGGCGCAGGCTATCGGTTTCAATTTAACCAATGGGTTTCGTCAGCTTAGACAGCGTACATACGTCAGGCTTCAACGGTTGTCTGAGCTTGGTTGGCCTATAATGTAAAATTGAAAATAGCGAATATATAAGAACTCTCTTGTTATCAAGTTCGATTAATCTGCTATAACGCTTAGGTGATATCTATTAAAAGCTTTTGTAGGTGATTCTGTTCTTAGAAGAAAAGACAAACGACAAAGGTCAGAATTAATTCTTATATTAATAAGCAATAAAAACTAATCTTAAAATGAATCGGTCAAGTTGTTAGATAATTTTGTGAGGATTTTAAATAGCAACTGTTTGCATAGAACTTCTCATCTGTTCCTCTTCTAAAACCCAGTTGAAATAGTTCATTAGCTTAATGCAATGATGAACAAGTCTCTGCTTTAACGAGTATGACAACGCTTTCCATCAAAGTCTGTTCACATTTCTTCCCACTGTACTCGACACTTCCCTTTAATAGATCAGTGTAAATCGAACAAAAATATATGTTTCGCAATTGAGTGTCTTCACATATATAAATATGATAACAAAGTTGATCGACAACATAATAATTTTTCTCTCATTTATCGATAATAATAATAGAAAAATTAAGAAAAAAAAAAGAAATAGTTTGAAAGATTTTGTTAGAAACTTTCACTCACTTAAAGGAGATTGAAATTAATATGCGATTAGAATGTATATTATTTGCAATATTGCCTATGCTGTGAATCTTTGCTGTTGCAACACTATCGTATCGTATAGGTCGGATTAGCAGTTTGATAAAGGATCGAACAAGACCGATTTCTGTTTACTGCAGAAATAAATCCAAGAAGTTTTTACTTAAATTAAGACAGTTTCCTTTGTTGAATTTGTTGATTGACAAAAAAAAGAAAAAAGAAGAAAAATTTTAAATAACAAAACAATTCTTATGTGTGAATGCGTTTAATATAATTAATAATAATAAAAAAAAAATTAAAAATAATAATAATTGAGATAATATTTACCGTCAGTTTTAATCATATTTAAAATTTTTTAAATTAATATAAAATTTTTAAAATTAAAAAACAAGCTATTTGCTGAATCACTCGTTGCCTAAAAACAGCTTGACTTTTGTACTCCGAATGAGAACGAAAGGAATACTTGATGAGATAACTTTAAATCCAAAAATTATGAAAATTCGAGAAACAATTGAATAAAAAATGTGAAAAACTCGAAAGAAACCATGCTCGGCCTAAGCCGAATCTTTTAATATCCATCGCCAGCTTGTATATATGACATTTATTGATTGTAAGAGAGAAAGTAGATCTGTCCATACGTCCGATGCGCTTAACATGTCGTAAATATTTTTTTCTGTAAAATTTGACAGGTAACTGCATACGCACTTCTTCTTATTCGGCTAAGTTGTTCTGCGAATTTAAACTAAAAAAAAAAGCCAATCATCCTGAATTAGTAATAAAGAAAAAAAGAGTTGTAGGGAGACCTAACCAGATATTGTTGACGTTTAATTAGACAATTTCTGGAAACCAAAGATATAGTTTTGAAGCCGCATGAACGTATGAGAGACAAACGAACAGATATGTCTGCGTCGAATCCACCATTCTCGCTGATCAAGGGGAGATACTTTACATGTCTGATGCATGTCCCTTTGCATTGTCCACACTTTGTAAGTCTGATTTATCGCTGGGAGGGATATGTAGCAAGCAATAAATAAAATCAAAACAAATTATATAAAAGAAACATTTTAACTTTTAACAATTTATACGGATAAAATATAACTGTCGTTCGAAAATGGATTGATATTAAAATTCGTTTCTTATTTAAGAAATGGTAACATTTTTTTTTGTTAGAAAGTAATTCGATAATTGACATACCAGCCGATTGGCTTTGATTATGCTACTGTTTACAAATTTTAAATCAAAATATCAGTTCATTTTGAATTTCAATCTACCGTTAAAATCACAAATTTAAGACCCTCTTAAATTATTAAAAATGTTTTGAAATTCGTGTCAGTTGTTTGTTTACGTTTGTTAATAAAGCTAAATAAAGCTAACATAACCATAACTAATAATATAAAATAAAACCTAACACAAAAAATATTAACTAAAAAAGAAAAAAGAAAAAAAAAATCTTTTCCAAAATTTTTATACGCAGCATATCAAATGTGAAATTAAAAAATAAATAAATAAATAAATAAAATCTATTAACCATTTTTATTCTAAAAAAGAAAAAGACAAAAAAAGAAAAACTACAAAAAAATCAATAAAAGTACACAAAGAATAATATGAAGAAAATACGTATATGTTACATACAACAAATATAATATAATAATGATATTAACTATATATAAAAATATATTTTGGATTTATATCTTTTTTTACTCAATCGAATTGTATACGCATTGTACTCTTAACGTTTATATGTATCTGTAATTTTCCGACTTGTGTACATAAAAACTTACTTTTTTACTTTTAAATCAAAACACTACCAAATCGGTAAACTGAATGTACAGATTTGCATACATACACATACACACACATACACATGCACACACACAAAAAAAACAGTATCTAGGATTTCTTTATTAATGGTGCTAAATAAATTAAAAGAAAAATACTTTTTACTGGTAGATACATACATACATACATTTTAGTATATTATACCTACATACACTGTAAAGGATTAATTAATTCACATAACTTATACTATATAACTAACTAAGGCCCACCGAAGCATGTCATTCTCTTCTCTTTCATAAATATCTTTAAACTTTTCTAATCTATTTACTTAATAACATTGTTATTAATTGAAAATCAATATTATTATTATATAACAGAAAAAAAAAAAAACAAGCAGTTGTGGTTAATATTATAGAATTTAGATTTATTAGAAAAAAAAAAAAAAAAAATGAAATTTCAGATTTGTTTGATATGCATTCAAATAGTTTGAATCATTTCATTAAGAGGGATTTGCACGATTAGAAGCATGATGAAGCGACGTTTCTTCTCCCATCTAATAGGTTGGAGGTCGTATTTTATCTATTTATTTTATTTATTTTAATTCATGTGGAACCCAAACACTTTGCTTTAACACAAACCTAAGAGATTTAATGTGATCTACAATAGTTGTATGATGAATGCCTAACAATTCTTTTCTAAATACCGCATATAAATTTTGACACTCAATCGATGCGTTGCTTCCTTTTTGGAATC